TCCTAGCCTTTAGCTTAGCCCCGGCTCTGCATCCATGGTACGGCTTCTTCAGCTCAGCCTGTATGGGATGTTTAACTCCATATCTGGTATACTTTAAAGCCTGGAATATACATTATTTCCTCATTATACATCATATCGTGTACATTATTTTTTCCATCATAACAACGAACAGACAGAACAACATTGGACGAAAATGTCAATCGACAAAAAATACACTAATATACTGCAAAAAAACTACAAGCTACAAGGATTTACTGCCACTCTGTCAGCGTATCATTCAAAATCAGGTTTCACCCTTGAAGGTGCTGAATATATAAAGTTATCATTATCTCAGGGTAGAAGTTTAACAGCAAAGTTGCTAGAAACAGCTATTTCACAGACGTGCCTCCTCTGGACTAGTGACACTAGAGTGTGTGAGTGTGTGTGTGTGTGTGTGTGTGTTTGTGTGTGTGTGTGTGTGTATTTGTCTTTGTGGGTCAGTGTGTTATAAAGAACTTACCCAGAGGAAACAGGAAGCCAGAAGGTAAAGTGGACCAATTATCTAGAAGCAAATCATCACATCTGTGCAAGCAGAAGAAGTCAGTCTGGCAGCAGGAACGGGGACCGTGATTCACCACTGATGAGGATCTTTCTGTGTCAGACACTAGTATAACATAATTGTGATTGGCCCCGGTACAGATATTTTCCTGGCTCTGCTGTTCTCTAATGAGAGTATAGCCAATTCAGCTAATGTTAGCCTCTGGCTGCACGTCAACATTGCTAACATTCGAACTTGAAGCATGGTGAGTAAAAATGTATCTAATGAGGTCAGTTCAGCAGTAAACTCCTCCTCCTCTTCTGTTTCATCTTTCCTCTCTTGAGCATTACTTTTTCTTTGGACTTGCTGAATATGATGCTGAACTCAATCGTCCATCAGGTGAAGAACTCACTCCTTGTTAAAAGGTTTAGGTAAAAACTGACGCCATCTACCTGAAGGGGCAGAGCCGGCTCATTTTCCTCAGGAAGCTCAGGTCCTTTGACGTCTGCAGTGAAATGCTGCACATATTCTTGTTTTAAGAGGTGTAAATTCAGTTTTATTAAGGTGTGGGTCTGCAGTTCCCCTCAGCTTTATGGACTGTTTGGCATCTTTCAGCTCATTGTTTCATTGTTGCTGTCTGTCTTTTACTGTCGTGCTTTCAGCTGTTTTCACAGGAAAAGCTCTGATACACTTGATCTATGGTACCTGTCAAAGTGAGACTGAAACAGAGTTGGTTTACACTGGTCAAGTGACCAGAAAGATGACTCCCAGTGAATGCTGATGCTGCTAACACATTCACCATGACAACTTTATAGAAGTGATCATGTGCAAATGTGCTGCTTTCAGGTGCTTAATCAAATGAATGAACAGATATACTGTCCCTAACCCTTTTTAAGGAAAGTTATGTAATCAAATGATTATATGATAAATTGTCTGACCATCATTAAGATTCTAATATTTTCATTCTATATATTAAACAGCAGTTATATCATAATTTCGTAAAAGTATAACTTCATGTGAAGGGCTGATCTTACTCTCACATGAATTCAAATATTCTCCTGTCACATCTGTGTGTTTATGGCAGTGACCTGTGAAAAATCAGGATCATTTCATCCTGACACGACATCAGTGACAACAGGAAGGAGCTGGATCTTTTACTCCAGAGTGGTTGAACCAGGATTATTGGTCACAGGAGCTGAGCAGAATGGCTCAGGTGGTCCCGCTGGATTTCTTTCTGTAATTGCAGTTTCCTGCAGCACGGTCAGCCTGGACATCAGGAGGAGTTTATTTCTCTCTAACCTTCAGGGTTTGTTAAAACTCACCCTAAAGATGGAGCTGTAGGAGGAGACAGGCTGTCACACCAGTCAGGTCCCCGTGAACACTGATACTGATTTGTAGCCTTCATGCAATTCAGTGGATTCTTCAGCAGATGGATGATGGTCAGTCAGGGCTTCCGTACCTCTCCATGGAGAGCTCATCTCAGAGCCCCTACCTTCACCTCCTCACACAGACACACACAGGGTCCATCTGGTTTGTGTCTTGCTTTTTCTTCAATAGCTATTAAATGTCATAATAATAATCATAATAATAAGGATAATCCACATATCTACTGCACAAAGAGTTAAACAGGAATACACCAGTAATGATAATGTCATGTTATATATGATATTACTACTCATACTGTATATGAATAAAATTACAAACATCTTATAACACCGGTTCCCAACCTGTGGGCCGTGAAGGTGGGCCCACCAGTCAATCACACAATTCTGGTGAAAAGAAAAATATAGATTATGTTTTTAAATGTTTTAAAACAAACTGATTTTTAAAAACATTGAAAATGTTTAAAAACTCTTTCATTGTTTTTTCTTCTTGTATTAAGGTGATAAGACAATGACAGGAGCTTTTATGTTGTCACTGTAGCTTGTTAGCAACAGGAAGAGTTAATAGGAGCCTCTTTTATTATTATATTTCATTGTTTTATTGTGGTTCAATTATGTTTTTGTTAATAGGTCCGTCTGATGTCATCCATTCTTTAAGGGGTGGGGCAGGGAGCTCCTTTCTACTAGATTGTGTAGATTGTACTGCATTTATAACAGGCCCTGCTGCACTGGGCATGTACACAGATAATAAGAACCTGTAAAACAGGAGAAATAATGAAGCAGAGGAAACTGCTGCCATTCTTCTGGTTGGTCTTGCCAGAATTCATTATATAAACACATTGTCAAATGCTTTCCTTATTTTTCTCAATCATCCACTTTGAGTCTCTCTTTGGTTTCCAAGTTTCAATGAATGTACACTCACACTCTCTAAAAATTAACAACTTCCATTAAATAATTAAAAAAAACAAATATATAAAATAAAAATTTGTATATAACCAAATGAGAGAATGGTCTTACATTATATCTCATCAATACTACAACTCATAATGAAGGGACATAAACCCTCCTCTATATACAGCTTATCAGTTCTGTCTTATTAGTCACGAACATTCCTGTTATCTGTACTCGCTTTAAACCCGCTGGTTCTATATGTTTCTAGGCAACACAACAGCTAATAGTCTCATACTAGCATTCAAAAGAAATCCATAGGCTTGACCTCAGACCAGTACAGCAGGTATTTTTTATAAACAGAACATTCTTTAACACTTTGAATGTCAACAAACATAAAAACTGGACCTCTACATTGGTCAGGGAGCGGCTAAATGCTAAATGAAAATACCGTTTGCCATTACAACCACCTACAACGTATCTCAAGAACACGAGAGATAGCATTTTGCTATGCTTATTTACAGATGTAATTTGTAGACATCACTTACCTGTAAAACAGAGAAATAATGAAGCAGAGGAAACTTGCTGCTGCTCATCTGGTCTGTCTTGCCTTGCTTACGACAGCTATGTCATCAAGGCAGTCCCACTACAGCCGGCGCTCTAATGCACTCTGTTGACTGGAGTAGTATATTCAGTATCTTATTTCATTGTTAACACATAAGCCTTGAACGACTTGATTTAAATCACTGTAAATACAAATAATACATTACATTAAATTACCAAAAATGTAACCACATATTTTGTGTGGGTCATACATTGTTAACTCAAATGTGGGATTCTGGGATTTAGTTTGTTTTGTTATTATTTTTTTATTTACCATGTCATTTCGATGGTTGTATAAAAGCCAGTGGGGGTTCAAAGGAAGGAAGTTGCTTTTGTTTTGTTTGTTTTATGATTTGGCGCCACCTGCTGCCCTCCCTTTGTTCCTGGTCTCCTCACTGAGTTCTCTTTCTGTTGCCGGCATGTTTGTATCCTTACGCATCTGCTGGGTGTATAAAACACGTTTTGAGAATTTGACATTGTACATTGTGTTTCTGTCTCAGTGGCTGTTGAGCAGAAACAGAGAAGAGAAATATCCAGATGTGGCAGCAGATGTTGTCACTGTGTGTAAACTGGGATCCTCATTATATTTAACAGTGACCTTTCCTCCAGCCTGTTTAAATATTCATATTTTCTTCTTCTCTTTTGTTTTATTTGAAGTGTTGATACATGAGAATATATATTTGTGGTTTAAGAACCAAAAACCATCTCAATGTTGTTTTACATCTCTTCCTCAGGCTTCTCTCTGGAGCTCTAGTAACAACAGGTTGTCGAGCCAATCAGAAGAGAGGAGGCTCTGAGCCTCTCTCTGATTGTCTGACTGTTTTCCGAGTGATCCAATAAAAATATAACAGATTTCAGGTAAACACTCAGAGAAACCAAATCCTGCAAGGTTGGATGGTGGGTCCAGGTGGGCGGGGCTTGGGTTATGACTGAGAACAGTATCTGCTTTGTTGTGACATCACAAAGTTCCAGAAGTCCTGACAGCTGGTTTTAAGGCTCAGGTTCTGAATACAGGCTGTGTGCATTTCTCTGTGGACTGGGGCTTTGATACTTTCACAGTATTGATATAGACCTGCTTTATAATCAAACAACACATGGACATCTACCTTTATAATATATGGGACCTTTAATAGCCTGGTGTCTGATAATTTACCTCAGAAGAACTACTGAATGTGAAGGGATAAAGCAACATGAGCAGCTTGATTCAGCATGTGTTTGTATCTCTGTTGTATGAAGAGCTGTCTTTCAGTTACCAATGCAGCTGCTAACTGTGTGTTCACTGTGATAATCAGGCCTTTAGTTGTTCTGCAGAATCTTAATCAATTAATTAATCAATCAATTAATAAACCGTATGTTTCTGTGTAGATATAAAAATATGTACGCATAGCTGTAGATGTAAATAGACATTACTGAGTTCCACTGAGTTAGTCCTGAACTCTGCCCCTCATGACACACCTGTGTGTGCGCTTGTGTGTGTGTGTGTGTGTGTGTGTGTGTGCGTGCGCGCACATGTTTTAGGTGAGGATCATATTTCAGGTGCGTCTCACTGTAGGCATGTCTCAACCCACAGGAGGAGGAAAAGAAAGAAAACCTCACAGTTGTTTCAAAGACCAAGACTGAGGTGGATTATCTTTCCAGATGGACTCTTACATCAAAACAGGGGAGGTTTACCTCCAACCGCACAAATCTGGCAAAGTGAGTACAGAGATATTAACATCTGTTCTCCTTTTGTTTAGTGAGTTACTGTCGTGAGCAGTTTAGAGCCAGGACTTTGTTTTCTGGCACATTGTAGTAATTATAATTACATGAAATCAAACTCAGAGGAAGCTGCAGACACAGTAAATAAGAGAGATATATACTGTCATTATAATACTTCATGACTGTGATTTATCAGGTTAACAGGTGACGTTCAACACAGGTTTATTTAATCCAGTTACAACCAGATTCCACAGTTCACTCAAGGAATGAGACTCAGCATTGGCAGAGAAGTTATCAGCCAAGTGAACATGTTCAAACACAACTGTTTCACCACCACACATTCCTGTGCAGACTGACATTACACACACTGCTGCTGTGAGGTTTAACCCTAGCACTGAATCTATGATCCTTAATCTGTCACCTACTGTTGGTGCTAGAGGTGGACCCAAACTCACACTGAGACAAGCTGATGAAGTGAAGCACTTCGCTTACAGGCAGACCAGGTGAACAAGTTGGCAGGGAGAAGCACACAGGTTGCAGGTACTCAGGTATAGCAGGGACATCTTGTGTCATCATATTGTAAAGTCTGGACTGGTTCTGTAAAAGAACCTGGACACGAAGGAGGGACATGGACATGAGGGGAATAACATCATCCTTATTTAACTGCTCTGTAACACTCACACAAACACGTGTTCCCTCTTTTATTTTGAAAGGACTGGCTCATGGTGTGCAGGTGTTTCCTGTATACCTGGTTGTATGGATGACTAATGTTTACCTCTGTGTCATACTGAAACTGATGATCCCATTCATGAGGAAAAGGTTCAGGTCGAGGGTGTGTATGTGTGTATGTGTGTATCTACATGCTGACATCTGTATCGTGATCAGTACTATTAGTCCCTCTGTCATTAACCATGTGTCTGTCTCTTATCAGAAATGGAAACCAGTGTGGTTGTCTCTGTTTCCTCCCAGTAGCAGCGCAGTGGGTCGACTGGAGATCCAGGGTGTGGGAGGTACAGTATCTGCTTCTACCACTCTCTGTCACTGGTCTTATTTTGAAGGTTTGACCAGATGAATTACTGAGAACACAGTAACTTCCGGTTCAATGAGCTCAAACAGTGAGACAATCTGACAGTTTTAAAGGAGCAGTCCACTGCTTTTACACATGCAGTTCAGTGTGATGTAATCAGGGTTACTTCACGTGAGGCTTGAGACTTCACGTTTCAACAAAACCTGAGTTACAAACTGGAGTTTTAAAGATGTAGGAGGTCTAATGAAACTGTTGTTGAGTTGCATTATGGGAAATGTTGGATCAAGTGTTTTTGGAGCCCAACCTATGACTACTGACTAAAAGCCTGTGCTGCGTTAATTGGTCTTCATGCGTCTTTTGTTATCTTTGTCTCTGTACTATACAGGTGGAATTACCCTTTAAACAGCCACCAGTGGCGCCAGATGGTATAAACCTTATTTGCAAGTTTGGTAGATCAGAGTTCAACTACAGTCAGTCTGCACTGCCTCCTGTCCATCGTTAGATTTGTTGCTAGGCGACATCTAGTGGCCGTAGTAATTATGACAGGAGTAAATTGAAAAGTGCGGTGACGTAATATAAAGAGAGACAAAGTTCACGTCAGGAGGAGGTTGTGGTGGATGGATGAATATGACACAAGAGAGCGGTGTTCGATCCCCATGTGAAACTAGCTGTTTATATTGTTTCTATTATCCATGACCATTTGTTGTTATTATTGTAACCATGACAACAAAGATTGTCTAATGTTGAGGAAGTACTTATTTTAACCCAAATCATGATCTTTTCCTAAATCCAATGTGAAATGTGATGTGGCTGTCAGAGGTTTGGTAGAAGAGTTGCTCCAAACCCAGTGTCTGGTTCATAGCAGTTAGTGGGAAGCCAGATATAAAGAGAGAAGCTACACTGCATGGTATCCAACAGCACTCAATAAGACCTGACAGCCCCCCGAGAGCCAGGACTGCCACATGAACCACTGTGGTTATGAGAGTTCATCTGAGGTTTAGCTAAGTCCGTCCAGAGCTTGTGCTCATGAGTCTTGTGTATGTCGAGAGCAAATCCTCACAGTTTTCTTCACTGGCCACTCAGGGAGTCTGTATTATCCTGTTTGAATATGTACTCAGGCTGGGACCAGGAAGGCAACGAAACATAAGAGCTTTCCTACTTATAAACACAGAGCTGTAAAAATGCTGTTAACTGGTCTTCAATGGGTGTTTTTACAAGTCAGTCTGAATGTCGTCATTTCAGAGCAGACACTTATGTCTGTTTCTCTGATATAAAACACTCAGATATTAGATATAAAAGAAACCAGAAACCTGGAACCTGGAAACCAGAGACCAGGTTTCTTTTAAGACTCATTGCTCCATTTCTCATTCAGCCCAAACCCCTCACACCTGCTACTCACATCCATCGCCTGCAACTATTCAGCATTCATGTTGCCTCCTTCAGCTTCTCCGCCCTCATTGGCGAATGTGTTCTCTTCTGGAGATGAAAATTAGTTTGGTAAATACCTTGGTGAGGTGGAGGGTAAGTAAGCTGGAACTCTCTGCTGCTGGGTTGTGGTTGAAGCTGACAGGCCTGTCTCTGTCTGTCTGTCATGTGTCCTCCAGGAGGGGGGGCAGGAGGTGATCATGGCACTGGGGTCAGGAGACACCACCAGCCTCTGGGGGACAGGAAGATGAAGGTGGTACGACTGTCCGAGCTGATCAGTGTCCTCAGACTCCCTCCGAACGCCGAGGCCTGTCCCATGGTGAGCTTGTCTGGCTTTGTAATCTTTACATGTATGAGGTTGAATGAAGACTACAGCCTGTTGTCTGTGCTGCAGGACAACATGTCCGCCTTCTGTGTGGAGACCCAGGACAGGACCATGGTGTTTGCTGCACTCAAAGACGACTGTGTGGACTGGGTGGAAAAACTGTGTCACAGCACGTTTCAGGTGAGAGGGAACAGGAAGTCCAGAAGGTTTAGTGCCTCGATTATTGTCTCCAGTCTCAAATTCATTGTTAAAACAGAGACAGCAGAGCCCGGTGTTGATGAAATAACTCCGGCTGTGCTCTCCTCTTCCCCCTTCATCTGTCTCTGTCAGAGAGGAGGCGTCTCAGGCTCTCAGCAGCTCCACATGGAGGAGAACCAGATATATGCCTCAGCAGACCAAGGTAACTTTTCCGTTCCAGCTCTGCTAATGTTGGAGTGTGACAGAAGAAGATAATGAGCTCCAGAATGTACTTGTATGAAACTGAAGGTCTCAGAGTCAAACTGAATCTGTGTGGTTCTCCATGTTTTCTCTGGAGTATACTGAGCCAGTGATGGACAGCAGGAACGTAGATCGTGTGACAGGAGGGATTTAAAAAACTTCCTGTGGATGTCTCGTTTTGATGCCATCCTCCTTAAAAGTGGAAATTACAACTTCAAACCTCCAGGTTGTGTGTGTTTGATGTTTTCTAAATCTTGTGTCTTTGACTGAGGGTGTTGCTGGAGAAAAGCCTATGGACTCACCACATGCATCAGAAGAAAAATTCTTTACAGCTCCATATTTTCCTCTTCTCCTGTGTTCTGTTTGAAGTGTTGATCCATAAGAAGATATATTTATGGTTTTATAAACCATCTCAATGTAGTTTTACATCTCCTTTCGCTTTGATACTTTCACAGTATTAATATAGAACCTAGACCTGCTTTATACACACAGACATCTACCTTTAGACTATATGATAAGATTACTGTGAAGAGCTAACTGCAGTCTCTTAAGGATCCTTTAGTAAAATGACATTGAAAGGACTGCACAGTGATTCAGAGAATATACTCTTCTCTCGGCTCAGCCTCAGAGTTCTGGGTGGTGGTCCAGAGGACGGATGCAGCGATACGTTGTGGCCTGCAGGGGTCATACTGGCTGCAGGTGGGACGAGAGGCATTGCTGCTCAGAGAGGGACAGAAGAAGAGCGCTGTGAGAGAGTGGCCATATGAGCTGCTGAGACGATATGGAAAAGATAAGGTGAGTGTCTCTCATCTTCTCACTGCAGCAGTTATTACAGGAGGGCTGCACTGTGTCACATGAACACACTGTAACTGCTTGTCTGTGTTTTCTGATCAGCTGGCTTTAACCATCGAGGCAGGCAGACGCTGTGACTCTGGTCCTGGAACATTCACCTTTGAGACTCAGCAGGCCGAGAAAATATTCTCCCTGATTCAGAGCACCATCAAACAGAAGACGTCAGCTGCTGCAGGTAGCCAGAACCAGGAGGGTGAGAAAGGTAACCCAGCCATCATACAGGCTCATTCCCCCCTCCCCAAAGTTCCTGATGTGTCTAGCGTGAGGACAGAGGAGAGGAAATGTCCCGCTCCAGAAGGGCTGTCTGCTCAGTCACAACCAGCTCCCATCACCCTCATGCCTCTCCCACTGGTCCCCACACACAACAGCGCCCCTGGAGGTCATCACAGCGGCCAATCAGACGTTGTGTATGCTGACCCAGCTGACTGCATCCAGTCTGTAGCAAGACTACAGCCGTCCACAGCTCAGTACGTAGACCCTGCAAGCGTTCTTCCACTCGAACCCCCCACTTCAAGAGAACCTGTCTCCACAGCTCCTCCCTCCTCCAGTCCTCACCACAGCTTCACCTCCGATCACCCAGAATCAGTCTACTCAGAGGTGTACGACCGGCTCCGTCCGGCCCAGAGTAAACTAACGAAGAGCAAAGATGTTGAACCCATTTACACTGAGCCCCTGAGTGAGAGGGAACAGGTGACCCGCAACAATGACAGCAAACCGGACCCGTTCGCCCAGCTGTATGCTCATGTCTGCAAACCAGCTCCTTCAACTGGTCCCTCCACCCCATCCTGCTCCACCTCTCTGTCTGTTAGTGGCAACACAGCCACAACAACAGACCACTGTCAAGATGATGTCATCTATGAAAACCTGGGCATCATTTAGAGACTTATATCAAAGCAGTCTGATGTGACCTGTTCCTCTCTGTACTCTATCTGTGTGAAAACATTTCCATTCATTTTTGACTGAAGAATAAACCTGACTCAGTGAACCGGCCCTCTTCTCCTCAGGAGCACATGTCTGACATGATGTGCTCGTATGTTGTATCATATTCATCATCATCATTATCATCATTTTACCACCATTTTTATAGGGGCCCAGCAGCTTTTCAGCCTGAGGGCGTCTAATAGGTTAATCTGACCGAGCATCCAGGATGTGTTGAAGTTCAGTGGCTAGTGTCAGGTCACATGGTGCAGTTACATCAGACCTCTTGTAACTCTATATCATCCTGAGTTAATCAAAGACTCCATCTACAAATTAATTACATTAACATGATAGCTTCACATCTTATGACCCCCTTGATTAAAACTCGGACCCTCCCAAAAGAGGTAAAAAACAACAGTCCAGGGGGTTGAAACATTTATACATTGTTGCCCATAAAGTTGGAATAATTTAGTTTTCAGTTAAATTTCAATTCAGTTTCAATTAATTGTGGTTTCATTTTCATTGTGATATGTTTGGAAGAGACTGACTACCAAAGTTTTGAGAAGATATACACTTTATCTGTCAAGAATAAATCACATTGTCACAATCATTTCATGAAAAGACATAAAAAATATTTTATGCCAACTTTATGAGCAACGGTGTATATCCTTATCCCCGTAAATGTAAACATTACATTGTGTCAAGTATCTACAGTGTATATACAGTGTATGTGAATGCTAATGTTAGCTCCCTGCTCAGCTGAACAACCCAAATAATAACAATAATAATATGATAATAATAATCATTTTCAAAGTTTATAGTTCAATGTATTTTAGATTTGTTAGTTTTAGAGTTTTTACCCATTGATTAAATGTTGTATATGTATTTTTGTATGTTTTTTTTTTGTAAATAGTTGTAAAGATAGTTATTAATATTGTGTTCAACAAACTTTGCTTTAATTGATTCATTTTATATATTATATTTTCTTTTATTCATCTTTTGACCAGTGTGTCTTTCTCATGTACAGTCTGTCCGTCCTCCCCTCTGAGTCTCTCTGCAGCCTCATGTCGTCTTTGATGAGCTGTGACAGCTCATCATCTCTCTGTCTCTCTTTCTCTCTCCTGTTGCTGTTGAGTGGCTTTCCTCCTCGCCCTCCTCCTCACTTGGCCCTGGTGTGTCCTCAGGGATGGAGGCAATTAGGACAGGGGGGGGTTTGATGGGATGCCACTGTCCCAACACCTAGGCCAAGTACCAGCAGTGGTTTTCCTGCTCACCTTCCCCAGCAAGAACATTTTCTCAAGAATTGTCCTAATCACAAAGAGAAAACAAGAGAGAAGGGAAAGGCTTCTGGGATACAAACATCGGAAGACCGAGAAAGATGACACAAAATCCCTGAGAAAAAGCTTGGAGACCATATGTTGGATGTGTGACTATGTAACAATCACTGCTTGCTTCCATGACAGAACTACAAACGACATGATAAAAAAGGGTATTGCCACATCTACTGGTTTTCTTGTTAGTATGGGATTAGGTCTAATGTAACTGCCAATGGCTGAATGGAGATATTACAAATAGGCTATTGTTGCCTTACCTTTGCCTTATGTTGTTGCCTTAGCAGCAGAGGTTTGGCCCCAGTGAAGAGGCCATCGCCATCACACCCATTCTTAAACAAGCCAAGTGCACGCTCTCTCAACACATGCAACATGTGTGGCTTTGTGTTCTGTGATGAAACTGCACATTTAAAAAAAAAAAAAAAGACGGTTCCTTTTATTGTGACCAGCCCAGGACACACCTGTGTAACAGTCATGCTGTGTAATCAGCATCTGGATATGTCACACCTGTCAGGTGGAGGGATGATCTCAGCAAAGGAGAGGTTTTACGTTGAGGTGAGGTTTTGATATAAACCCTACATGGGGTTCTTACCTCACCTGCACATCCACTTCATCAAATAAAATGATATACAATGCATTCGTAATGTTTTTATGTGTATGAATAAATAAATGAATGAATTCTGGGTAAATTAATTAAATTAATATCCAATTGCTGAGCTCCATTTACCACAATAAAAATCTGATTTGGATAAAATGGCCGCGGTCTCTAAAAACTCTTTCTCTTCTCTTTGCTCTCCATAACAATATTAGCACACCACATATTATGAGTCATGTTTTCCTGATTTTGGTTGGTGGGTGCTACTCATGAAAAATGGAAGCAAAAACAAAAGTGTTGCATTTCTGTTTTTGTTCAGTGTAGATACTTGGCTGTGATTGGAAGTTGCAGCTGATGAATGAGTGAGTTTCTTCTGAGATTTTGAATGTGGTTGAAAAAACAGTCCTGAAACCTGGAGCCAGGACAAGTAGAGTCTTTATAATATTCATGTTTTATCATCACTGTGATAGCACTTACCTTATTGATCATTTGTCATAATCAACAGATCAAAGGCTTTCAGAGACCCGGTGAAATGAAGACACAACTCACAGTATTCCCTTATTAACAAGTACACAAGTGTATTATTTTGTTTTATTTATATATGCAAGCAAGTTCATGTCTTTACAAATAAAAAAGCCACTGTCTGCCCAAGCTGTTGGCACAGATATGTACAAAAATGGAGGAGTGAGTCTGATAAAGCCTGTTACTAAGCAACCAGAGCCAAGTACAAAAAGTCCAGACCGTCATGGAGGAACAGAAGAAGCTGCTCCATGTCCCACATGTCCGAGCTGACGCTGATCTGACAACAGGATGTTCCAGGTGACAGATTTTAGTCACGGACCAGACCTGAACCTGGTTTTGCCTGCTGGGACACAGGGCTGAGCCTCCACAGCTGCAGAGACCAGATCTGTCTCACAGAGGCTTAAGGACCAGGTCTGTGTCAGAGACCAGATCTGTCTCACAGAGGCTCAGAGACCAGGTCTGTGTCAACAAGCTCAGAGACCAGATCTGTCTCACAGAGGCTTAAGGACCAGGTCTGTGTCAGAGACCAGATCTCTCTCACAGAGGCTTAAAGACCAGGTCTGTGTCAGAGGCCAGATCTGTCTTACAGAGGCTCAGAGACCAGATCTGTGTCACTTAGGCTCAGGAACCAGGTCTCATGCTCACCTCTCTCAGTCCTGTCACGTGTGTGTGTGCTCAGGATGGTGGTGGTGGGGGGGGGGGTGACTCCAGGTTCAGCTGTGGTCAGAGACCAGAAGGACATGGGTCAGAACGTAAAGAAGGAAACAGATGGAGAGGAGCAGCTCACATCCTCCTCCTGCTCACACAGCAGCTGGATCCTGTGGCTCCTTAATCACTGAGTCTTAAATTCTGGTTCAGGCCTCATCCACCACCTGATAAAGAGCATGGTGTTCAGGCCTATCTGTGTGGCAGCAGTCTCACTCTTCTTCTCTGCATTTCTCAATCTGCTGTGGAAGCAGCTTGATTAATATCTTTCCTTGTTATCGTCACATGCGGTGTTCTTGGCTGCCTGTTGCTAGGTTACATGAAGCCTCACTTAAGCATAAGTGACTGCTGTGTGTACACATGCGTGTTGTCTCAAGCTCTACAACACAGGAAGTCACTTTTGAATCCAGATGATGTGATCAGACGGACGCCAGGGGCTGTGGTGTGAGGCAGAGGAGGAGGAGGATGGTGTGAGCAGTGGAGGATTAAAGACGATGAAGGCCAGAGCAATACATTACATCACATCTGCAGATCAGACAACAACGAACACCATGATCATACCACTGAAGACTCAATCATAGACTCATGCACTTGAATGCCAGCATTTCACAGGGATGGATTTCATGTTCACATCTTGACGTGGTCAAACTGCTACAACATATTGCTCTGGTGGTAAACGACTGAGCAAGCGAGCTAGCTTAGCAACACCATTAGCAACACTGCACACTGAAGAGTGGCAAAAAAAAGAGAAGGAGCAGAACAGTGCCAGTGGGAAAGGATAATTTTTTTTTTGTTCAGTTTTAATCATTAAAATTATGACCATTGAATGCATAACCATGCCACAAACAACAACTAGAGTCACTGTCTTTTTTTTTTTTTTTTTAACTAGTATAAGATTATCTTCATTATGAATTCATTTATTTTCATCTTTGATATTTCTTCAGGTTATAACCAATGCTGCAAGACTATACACAGGTCCCACAGAGGGGACCTCAATGTACTCACACCAAGAATAAGAGAGAGAGAGCTCACAATGGTCAATAAGTGCACAAAAAAACATTTTTTTTCTTTTATCTGAGGTTAAAAACACTGACAAGACATCCATTGTCAGGCAATGAAATGACAGAATACTGTTACTGTAAAACTAGACCCTTAAAAATACTGACTGTATGCAGCCGAGACCTCCCTGAACAGGACACGAGTCTGGAGGAGACACCCCCCGCCCGTCCACACTGATGGTCTGTGTCAAAGTCAGCTGCATCTACACGACACAGAGGAACAGATTCAGACTCTGTTTGTGTCGTTGTCAGACGTGTGACAGCTCAGTGTTAAGATCACACTGTGTTTACATGACACTGCTTGTTGATATGGGAAACCTCTTTTACAGCTGACTTGTATATTTTATATTTAACCGAACTCTCTTTAAATCAGCCAATAGATCCACAAGCATGTGACAACAGAGACACCTGACGCTCTGACATTATCGTGTGTGTAAGTACAGCTTTGGCAGGAAGCTGAGGCTCAGGACCCGCCTCCTTCAGACTCAGTGACCAATAGGAACCCAGGCCCCAGGCTGTTCACCTTAATGGTTTCACATATATGTATATCTTTATACAGAGCTGATGTGGGTGCGGCTCAGACTGACCACCACAACAGAAAAGAAAACACATCTGTTTGTAATTAAATGATTCACATTTAAAAAGTTTCAAAGTTGATCATAAACAGTGAAATGATGTTGAAGGAAAAGAGCAAAGAGTTATGGCTCAGAGTGACGGTGTGGTGGAGTGTGTGTGTGTGTGTGTGTGTCGGTGTGTGTGTGTGTGTGTGTGTGTGTGTGTGTGCTGGTAGCTTCATGAAATCAAACCAGTGTCATCACCACTATTGTCATCATCACCTTCATCATCAGTACAGTGCTCACCCTGAGCACAGGCTAAACCCTCTCTGTCTCTACTGGCAGGTAGAGAGTCACACACTCACCTTCCTCTGACAGCTCAACACAACCTTACAACACAAACATAACGTCCCTGATGCTGGTGATGGACTCTTTCACATCACTCCAGTGGGATCAACATCACCCGCAGACAAATCTGCAACAAGTTTAAATAAAGGTAAGATTCAGTCTGAGCGGATTTCTGAGGATTCTGTAAAGTTGCATCCAAATAAAACAAAGTGAAAGCACCTAAAGGTCTGAAGTGGAGCTCATAACCCGACCCAGTAAAGTAACCCACTCTGAATCCACAAGCTTATTGGCTGAAATATCTTCATTCATCCTGGTCATCAGCAGTAACAGTGGAGCTGCTTCCTTCAGCACCTTCTACTTTAATCCTCTCATCCCACTGCTCCATCTCTCCACCCGTCCACGTCAACCCCCCTCACATACACAACCAAACTCTCCCTGCAAATCCTCATCCTTCAGTGAAGCCACTTCATGCACCACCAGTAACACCACCCTCAGATCCCAGTAACACCACTCGCAGATCTCAGTATTCCTCAGTCCACCAGTGACCAGCTTAGTGTTGGTGTCGATGGTTTGGTGACATCAGGACAGAGAGAAAAGAGAAGGAGCGAGGACACAACTCAACCTGATGACTGCTGGATGGAGACACCTGTGTGTGTGTGTGTGTGTGTGTGTGTGTGTGTGTGTGTGTGTGTGTGTTTGTGTGTGCAGATCCACTGAAATACAGAGTCATTACATGAAAATGTAAAAGTGATTCAACCCCCCCCCCTCCCTCTTTAAATCCCCCCAACGCTAAAATTACACAGAAACAATACTCATAAAAATGTGTGAGAAAAAAAAACATCATTCAACAGGACACGTTAAAAAGACTTTGTGCTGTTAAGATGTGCTGTGTCTGAGGACAGTTACAAGTTTATACAAACTGGAGGGGTGGGGGTGGAGGTGGGGTGGGGTTGGGTGGGGTTGGGGTCCTGCTTCGATAGTTGTTTTAATAACTTCTCCTCTGAACAGACGCCTGACATGTGACATACAGCAGAGATATAACAGGATGAAGAGGATTTATTTGTGACATCAATTTATCAATCAATATATGATCTAATTATCATTGTTACAGTTAACTATTGAACCTGATTAATAATCAAATGACCACCATGCTGCCTGTGTGTGGAACAACTACTGAAACTGGGCTCCAGATGAAGAGGTCACAGAGGGGAGGGAGAGGAGGAAGGGGGAGGGAGGGAGAGGAGGAGGAGGAAGAGGAGGGTGGTGGTGGTGGCGGTGGTGTGGAGGGTGAAAAAGGTGGGAAAAGGGGAGGGGAGCAAAGCTACCCATATATACCTGGGAGGTACACGTTTCCTCTGGGACATATTTCTCCGTAACACCATCATCAGAAAGTGGTGAAACGACATGACACAGCGTAACCATCATACCAACACCACCTGTGAAACACCGACCATTCAGCCACATCTAGTGTGTGTGTGTGTGTGTGTGTGTGTCTGTGTGTGTGTGTGTGTGTGTGTGTGTCTGTGTGTGTACTGAGGCTGTTAAATGATGAGCTCATAGAAACCAAAGCCATCCCTGTGTCTGCTGCAGATTGTTGGCTTCAGTTTGTCATGTGGCTCTCAGCGGCGTACTGTGTCACATGACTGACCCTGACACAGGAACCTTTAATCAGATGATTCTAATTAAACACAGAACATTTCTTTGGGTTCGCCTCGTTAGTTTTTGGTTTTAATGTTCACTCACATGTTCTGTACTGAGAACAGATTTTACTGCTATTTTTAACTAGTCAGCTAGTTTTGACACAGCTAACCAGTTGCATTCCTGGGTGTTGAGGATGCTGGGGGTTAAGGGTTAAGGGGTGGGTTGGGGGGCCTTTGCTGAGCATGTGCTGAATGTTTCCTGTCACTTTAAGGCAGGTGTCAGGAGTCAAGTGTGTGGAGCAAACCCACATACAGGATGCTAATGTGTTAGCATGGACTACTGGAGCCAGTGATCAAATGCTGACATGGGGATGATGATGGTGTCTGTGTGTTCATCATTTCTGCCTGCTCGTGTGTGCTTGTGTTGTTTTTTCACTTGTGTTTATGGTGTCTGCCACTGTGTGTGTGTGTGTGAGAGAGAGAGTGTGTGTGTGGGTGTATCATCTTATGTGTCTGACAGGTGTGTGTGCATGTCGTTTCCCGGAGCGATGTGTTTATGTGTAAGCGTTGAGGCGTTCTTTGGAGCGTGTAGAGTGGATGTCGTGCAGCTCCTGCTCCTCCTTCGACTTGATGTCCTCGTACTTCTGCATCCGGCTGGCGTCCTTCAAGTAGCCCCAGTTAGCAGCTAGAGCCATCAGGAAGTGGACCTGGGGGGTACACAAACCACACCAGACCAGTATTTTATACCGATGCTCACTCTTCATTGTGTTTGCTGCTTTTGTAAAAAACAAACAAACAAAAAACAATGAACTTTCCTGTTTTCTACAAACAGGAAATGATGCAACCGTCAAACCAGCTGCTGCCAATGAACCAGAGACTAAATGTCATCAGGCGAAAGAAAAATGTTTTTCTAGACGAGTGGTTCCGACCTTCTTCAACTCATGGCCTACATCAGACCATGACAGTACGGAGGCTAAATAATAAGTTCTCAGAGCACTCTTTATTTTAATGTATCAATCAATTCTATATTTGAACCAGATGAAGGATTTTAGTCGTCGGACGTCTGGATCTGAAGTTATCAGAGAAACAAGCTGAGGAAATGTTAGACAGCTCAGCTCCCAGCTGCTGGAGACGTCCTGTCCTGTGTCACTGAACTTTACCATTAATTTTATTAAGTGTTGTTACTGGTTATAATCATCTGCCTTGACTCTTTAATTTTTATTTTTTCTGATGCTATCAATTTAGTTTCTCCAGTTTTTGCCATCAGACTGAGATAGAAAACAAGCATATGATGAGTTTTTAAACATTTAGAAACATTATTTATATTTATATAATTTTTTTAATATAATTGCATCTTTTCATGATCTTCTCATCTTGATGTGTTGGCCCATTTGCAACACCTTTGTGGACCACCAGTGGGCCCTGGGCCACAGGTTGGGAACCACTGGTGTAGATCTTCCAGTCACTGTCTCGCCACCACACACAATATTGTCCGACAGTGCAATGCAATTAGGAAGCTGACCTAAGTGCATTGCACTGTGGGACAATATTGTTTGAGATACCTGAACACTATGATCTATGATCAGATCAAATCAGATCAGATCAGTTCTTCTATTAAAAACGGATCAGTTACTGATAGGATATTTCAGCTCATCATGACTCACTCTCTCTGCTCTCATAGAACTGCGTTTGGTCTCAGCTGTTCTCAGTGAAACCCATCAGTGTGACATCAGTCAGCAGTTAAAGGTCCAGATGTGTTCCTCATACTGGGGACTAGAACAAAGCTCAGAGTCGAGACACCTCTGAGTGGTGATGGTAATGTTGCTCTGCAGGATGAGGAAATAGGCTGCTGTTTACAGCTTGTCTCTGCTGCCCCCATGTGGCCACAGATCTGATATTGCAGGTTAAAATTTGAATGAAATTAAAATGTCGTATATAAACGAGTTAGTCAGAACCAGTGTAAGATGAGTGTAGCTCACGGAAGCAAGAATGCATTGATTTCTAGTAGCAGCTTGCTGAGCTCTGTTGCCCCATGATGACCAAATTCAGGACACTTATTTTTATTTTTTATTTTTTGACTTCATCTTCCACAGATCCCTCATGAGGACATCCTTTCAGCGTTCACCACTGCTCCTCACTGTTGGAGCTTGAATCAAACCGGGGGAGATGGAGAGTGTTTTTGGATAGACTCCACCCCCCACCCCCACCCCCCTGTGACTGGGCAGGGACAAGCAGTTACAAAAAACAGATGGATGTATGTTAATGTCCTGCTCTTTGGTGGACAGGAGACAGAGATACATCATGTGACAGCAGTGGTCCTCTCCCCACCTCAGATACATGAGCAGCCTGGTGACTCATCGTCTGTGTTACTGCACTCTCTCTCTCTCGCTCTCTCTCTTTTTTCTCTCTCTCTCTGTGTATCCCTCTCTCTCTCTCTTTTCTCTCTCTCTCTCTGTATCCCTCTCTCTCTCTCTCCCTCTCTCTTTTCTCTCTCTCTCTGTATCCCTCTTTCTCTCTCTCTCTCACTCTGTGTATCTCTCTTTCTCTCTTTTCTCTCTCTCTCTGTATCCCTCTTTCTCTCTCTCTCTCACTCTGTGTATCTCTCTTTCTCTCTTTTCTCTCGCTCTCTGTATCCCTCTTTCTCTCTCTCTCTCACTCTGTGTATCTCTCTTTCTCTCTTTTCTCTCGCTCTCTGTATCCCTCTTTCTCTCTCTCTCTCACTCTGTGTATCTCTCTTTCTCTCTTTTCTCTCTCTCTGTATCCCTCTCTGTATCCCTCTCTCTCTCTCTCACTCTCTCTAAGGCCTGCTTCTATAATTTGCTTGTCTAATGTATAATGTGTAATAAAGTGAAAACCCCCTGAAGACAGAAAATGTGGATGAACACAGTAAAATACTAGAGGTTTATATTAGAGAGCAGAAGAAGAGACTGGTGCGTTTATCCTGCCGTAAACTTCCCCCACAGGTTGCAGGTCAGCCCCAGCCCCACAGCCAATCAGATGTAAGAATAAAGGCTCTCACCATGGCGATGACAGCAGCTCCTGCTCCTGCCAGCGCGCACACAAACAGATGGAAGGTCAAATCCAGCTGCAACACACACACACACACACACACACACACACACACACACACACACACACACACACACACACACACACACACACACACACATTATTGTTATTTTGAGTGGAAGTTAAGAGTTCTCAGGTTGCAGTCACAGATTATCATATCTGTACCATGGTCCTCCCGGTCCCTCTCACCTCGTTGGATTCACACATCTTGAAGAACTTCTCGGACCCTGTGCACACCTTCCTCTCCTCAGAGATGGTCACTGCTCCTTAACAAGAAAATAACATCATCAGCACAAACACTCTGCTTCTCATCCACCTGTGGTACGAGGGCTGATGAATGAACTGCTCAGTATGACCACAGGGCGCTGCTGGTGGGAGTGTTGAATCCAGGTCTTTATGAACCAGTGGTTTTATGTGAAATATTGTAAATGAGAAATGTCCAGTGGACACAGTAATCATTTTATTTAGCAGGTGCAGTTTGTGGGTTTGGACAGTAGATGGCAGCACTGCAGGTGTATGCCTCGTTCTGTGTCTGTTGGTTGAATGTGGAGAACATGGTGGACAGTGTGGTGACTGCACCAGGTAAAATCATACACAACCACTACAGTATCTGGTTGGAGGACAGTGAGGCCTGTATCATGTGTCAGCAGTGATAGATATTGAACCATAAATCACTGTGTTCTTATTACCAACACTCTACTGTTAATACTGCAATACACCCAGTGACTATTCACTTAAAATGAATATGCACTAATAATAATAGATTTACAGTCTATTTCAAGCTCCCATATAGACGAAAAAGGTAGATGTCCATGTGTTTGATTATAAAGCAGGTCTAGGTTCTATATTAATACTGTGAAAGTATCAAAGCCTCAGTCCACAGAGAAATGCACACAGCCTGTATTCAGAACCTGAGCCTTAAATCCAGCCGTCAGGACTTCTGGAACATTGTGATGTCACAACAAAACAGTCACCAATTAGACCAACCATCCAATCAGGATTTGGTTTCTCTGAGTGTTTACCTGAAATCTGCTATATTTTTATTGGATCACTCAGACAACAGTCAGCCAATCAGAAGAGAGGCTCAGACCCTCCTGTCTTCTGATTGGCTTTCTGACCTGTTGTTACTAGAGCTCTAGAGAGAAGCCTGAGAGTGTAACATTCTGGATTTTTGTCATGTTTCCTGTTTTATTTTGTAGTGTTAACCTCTTGTGTCATTTCAGTTTCCTGTGTTTTCCCGCCTTCCATCAACCACACCTGCGGCCACTCACTCACCTGCCCCTGATTACCCTAGTACCATCCCTGTCTATATACTTACCCACCAGCTCCTCATGCCTTTGCCAGATTGTCTTTGTTTCCCTGTGACCTGACCTTCTTGGATTTACTGTGTGTTTTCTCAGTGATTTTTGAACTTTGCCTGTTTCTTTTCAAATTCAGAGACTTTGCCTTTTTCCTGTCTGTTTTTGTTAGCCCTTTTGGATACCTTGTTTGTGTTTTGCTGAACATTAGTAAAGACAGTGATTTTTATTTGGAACCTCACTCAGTTTCCTGTGTATTTTCTCTGCACCTGAGTCCAAGCCTTACCAGAGTTGTTACAGAGAGAGATGAAAAACTACATTGAGATGGGAAGCCCCAGGTGGGCGGGGCTTGGTACATGACTGAGAGCGGTGACTGCTTTGTTGCGACATCACAGATTTCCAGAAGTCCTGACGGCTGGTTTTAAGGCTCTGTTTCTGAATACAGGCTGTGTGCATTTCTGTGCAGACTGAGCGCTTTCATACTTTCACAGTATTAATATAGAAGCTAGACCTGATCTATAATCAATCTACACATGGACATCTACCTTTATACTATATAGACTTTTAAACCACCATCAGTCCTAGCTGGTTCAGATCAATCTTCCCTCCTCAGTGCCTGACCTGGGCTCTTTATTGTCCTCACAGCACATGGCTCACTCCTGGCAGTTTGGCAGTTTTTCGAGCCCTCACAGGTTTTTCCATCGTGTGTGCCAGTGTGGTATTAGTGGTGAGTCGCCTGCACTAAATGGGTGGATGCTCAGAGTGCGTTCTGTCAGAAATCAAGCAATTCAGAGAAAACCGGGTACCCAGGATTATGAGGAGCTGTATTCCACCTCTCTGGCCAACTGACACTATTTCAGCAGCAGAGCATACACTGTGCTGTAGCAGATCAGCAGGTTGTCTAATAAATCCCAGAGAGAGGACAAAGAGATTTTTCTTTCCAAGTGTTTTCAAACTGTTGTCAGGTAACAGCTCCTCTCAGGCCACAGCAGCATGGAGGCAAACGAATGAGGCAAAAAAGCAGGTCAAAGTTCACCAAACTGAATTCAGAAGCCCCTGAGTCCTCTGTGATAATTACATCCAGTGTCTGATTCATGTACCACGTACCAAACTGACGTAGGTCCAGGCACAGGTTGGCTCCCTCCACCAGGCTGGTGTTCTGACACATGGACCAGACGTTGAAGTACATGAAGACGGGCAGACCGGTGAACGCCGTCACTCCGAGCCACACCAGGAAGAACAGGTAGGCCAGGAACATCAGCTGCAGACACAGGCACACCACATGAGGAGTCACTCATGTGGCCAGCAGGTCATTATATACACATATGATCAGGTGACATCTCTAATACTGCATCCAGTGCAAGTGCAGAGTCATTTATATAGTAAAATACAAGAATACAATATTTCTCTGCAACCTTCATTACTGTTGTTAACAGCTCCACCAAACAGTGATTTTACCTCTAAGCTTCTCAATAAATATTCAGATGATCCAATATCTGACCAATAATCAAAGATCAGAGAAAAAGTCTACAAGTGAAACAGGTTTGTGAATCAGAACTTTCCTCTGTCATTAATCACCTTGAACCCCCCCTCACATTAATCTGTCTCTGTTAACACTATATAACGAGAGGTGCTGGGGTGAATGAGATGTGCTGAGATTGCCAGACCACTGTGCGATTTTGGATCAAACATAGCGGCACCCTGCTGCTAGACAAGACTCCTGTTGCTTTCCAACACAAAATACTGCAAAACACTTCAATTACCACTGAAAATCACTCCCAGAAACCACAGACGGACAGCCAGGACGACCTGGAAAACTTCATGGTCAACTAGGGATTGATCGGCTGCTGATCATTATCAGCCAATTTTCATTAAAAGAATGCGATGGGTATATCGGAATTAATGCTTCTAGTCACTGATACACAGATCAGAGATCAGATACGCAGGGCTGCAGCCATGTTCTGAGGCATATTTATTTTATTTGTTACATTGTGTTATTCAGTTGTCCTTACTGAAGGATAATTGTTGCATTGCTCTTGGGGAGTTTTTTGTACTGCTCTGTTGAACAAAGTCAGAGCATGTTGTTGAATTTTGTGGTCCTTTAATCAGGTTACCTGCCACCAGTTGGAGTCCCAGTTCACAACAAAACTAAACAGACTGACCAACCGCTTAACCAGCTGCTATCACAAAACACAAAACATGATTGGTATCAGCTGTGGATTGGTTGATCTCACCTATACATGATCGGCATCACTATCAGCGGTATAATAACGTGATCGGGGCCTCCCTATCGTCAGCTGCTACTAAAGCCTAGCAATGGAGCACCCCAACAACCCATATTACAAAATTTACAAACCAGCTAAGAAAAGAAAGAAGGTTTCATCAACTGATACCAGTGATCTACAAACCAGATATACAGGTCCATATTCTCCAATCCATAAACCAAAAACCGGACACATGGCTTAAAGCAAGAAACTTTCTGTGCCTGAAATGTGTTTGGGAGTTAGCTGTAGGCTAGCTGTGTAGCTATTTCAGAAAGACGAAAACACCAAATCTAATGGTTTCTCAATGTGAAACTTGAAAGGTCCCAATGGAAGAAAAATACATTATCTATTTACCCATTCCTCAGTTGGAAACCATAGTCTGGTAACTGTATCCAAGTCCAAGCACAAGTTTCAAAGCCATAAAGAGTAGCCTATCCAATACACCTGTCTTTCACCTTGTTCCTCTGTCGGTCTCTAAACAGTGTTTGTGACATAATCAGCCTACTGTTGTCAAACCATTGCCAAGTTAGTCCAAAAGATTGATGATGATATGAAAACAAAACGAATAGCCTACTCATTGCAGTGCTTTTTCAAAGTAGCGCAGTCATGTGTGTTATTGAGCTGACACCTCACTGAGCCAAAGTGTAAATAAAGGTTTTAATTATTAAAGTCGGTCTACTTGATTAATACATAATATAGGGTATAGGGTAGCAAAGCCACTCCTGTTTAACATCATTACTTCACAGTGTAATACACAGACTTTTAAATCATATTGTCAGTCAGATGCCAACTGACAGTGGGATATTTATCCTAATAAAAAAAACAAGATTGTTGCGAGAGTACACACCCAGCACCCTGATGCTTTCATTGTAATATTGGGGGATTTTAACCATGTCACTCTCACCTCTCACCTGACTGGCTTCACTCAGTATGTTGACTGTCCCACAAGGGAAAATAAGACACTGGATCTGTTGTATGCAAATGTCAAGGAGGCCTACACTGCTTCAGCTCTACCACCACTTGGCAGATCAGATCATAATCTGGTTTTTCTTCAGCCTTCCTACAAGCCCTGTGTACTGATGCAGGCTGCAACCACCCGCTCATTCAGGAACTGGACCCTGGAGGCCAGAGACTGTTTTGAGTGCACAGATTGGAATGTCCTGTTGGAGTCACAGGAAAATGATAAAAGCAAAGACCCTGACCTTGACAGAATGGTTGAATGTACCACAGACTACACTAACTTCTGTATGGACACTGTAATACCAGCAAGGACTGTACACTGCTTTCCAAGTGGAGAAGAGGTCAGAGCTAAATCATACTACAAGTTGAAGTTTAGTGGTGGTGATGCTGAAGTCATGTGACCGTATTGTAGTGGTTTTACAGTCTAACATTTGCGTTTTACTTCTGCTGATTGTATTGAGGCTTCAAACATCATAAAGTGGTGTTCAATAGTGAAGATGATCCTGCTGAACTAAACCTGTCAGGATCATAACTTGATGTTTATTTTCTCTAATAATCTAAAAGACAATAGAAATATCCCATTGGCTTTTAGTGGAGGGAACCAGGGTGATGCTAAACACATATATCCAGCAGCTCTTTATACTGGGTGGATAAAAGAACAGGTAACCAGATAATGGTAGGTCAGATAATGTAAAAGCTCAGCTACATGCACATTAGTCACATGAATCTTAAAAAATTATGCACAAATATACAGTTTTTCAGAAATTTCAGTGAATTCTTTAAACACTGGTTTTGAGGGGGAAACTGTGTAGTTGTTGGGGACTATTCTTCACGGTGGATTAATACACGTTTGGTGCTCCAGTGAGAACTTCCAGCAGCAGGACAGTGTGTGTGTGTCCTTTAATTAGATAAAACTTGCTGTCAGTACCCTATTTATTTGATAGAATAGTAATACAGCTTCAAATATCAATGTATTAGTTGTGAGGTTTTCTTACAAACGCAGTGAGGCAGCGTCCACAGGCGGTGATCTTGAACTCTCCATACAGGTCCCTGATGGCTCCGGTGGTGAAGAAGCCCTCGACCAGCAGCAGGACGCCAAACACAAAGAATCCAGCTGCAAGGCCGTAGATGATGTACTTCAGGATGTCGATACTGTGGAAAGAACACACACACACACACGCACACACACACATTTGCTGTATTCATTTTCATGCATCATCTTGAAATGTTATTTGTATCCTTATTTAAATCACCAAACAGGTCAGAGGCCATACGAGGTCAACTGGAGGGTGGAGGGAGAGGGGCTGGGGTGGAGGGTCACAGGTTGAGGCAGTGTGAGCGTCTTTACAACCTGAGGACCTGACCTCAGTCAGCCACAGCTGCACCCAATGAATAATGTTGTCAATATATCACTGGCTCCTGCAGCAGGACAGTAGGAAAAGCCTATTGAACCAAGCAGGTCGGCCGCAGTGAGCTCAGCCAGCAGCTTATGGAGCCAAATTAGAGCCAATAGTTTTGTAATTGAAAAACTAAAAATTTGAAACTGAAAGTTCAAGTTTTGATATTGAACTTTGAAAAATACAGTAATGAAATAAAATGATAAAAAATGAAAATAGGTGTAGGAAGAATTTTTTTCAGGTTAAATATTTATTTGCATGTTTCACTCTCTAATATACTGTATATTTTTGATATTTGAGGTTTGTTATCAGTTGCAAATCTTATTTTTTCACTTTTAGATCTTTTTTTCACTTTCAGATCAAGACTCAAGTGAGTCTCCACACACCGACAAGCAGGAGGGAGAGCGCACATCAAAAACATCCAGTATTGATCACTCTCAGTTCAGAGTAAGTCATAAAGAAACAAGAGACGTCTAACAGTTAAAAACAGATGAAAGAGCCGAGGGAAGACCAAGAAATGTCTTCCACCGTCACTGTGCAGAGCCACAGAGGATGATATTCCCCTGTTGGAGTACACCCTCATACTCTCCAGGGATCCGACCCAGAACAGTGATATGCCTGTGAAACAGCTTCACACAGCCAGTGTGGCAGGCAATGTGGTGCACACACGGGGAACAGTGAAACGCAGCCGTTCACACAACATGGCAGAGCACCGCACACACAAAGAGCTGAGCTGCCGTCCCTTTGGATCCTGAGGCGTGAAGGCCCCACAGAGAGGGCAGATACATCACTGACTCTCTGCAGACATTACTGTAGAGCACAGCTGTTGTGATGGACAGACACTGAACTGGAACCTGATCCAGGAGTTTAAGGGGGGGCGTTAGCCAGCGTGAGTAAAACCAGCGCTAAACTCTACTGCATGACGCTGGAAATGTTTCATCAGAGGGTGACTAAACACCGATCTGTCACCGAAGCCCTGATGACAAAATACTGGCAGCGAATGTTTTAAAATCCCTGTCCGGCAGCAGCTGGAGGAGAGAGAGCATGTGAGGCAGGGGACACTATGGGGATAATGCACACAAAAGCCAGAGAGAGGCCCAGCCTTCCTGAGCGTTCCTGTTCAGCACTGTTTGCTCCTCATTCCTGAGAGAGGGCGAGCTCGTGACGCAGACGTTTCCCACGGGCGGCCTTATGACGGCCATTGCAGGCACAGACAAACAAACAAATCCCCCCCCCCTCCCCAGGACGTTGATTCTGCAGCAGCCATGTCACCATCACACAGTAAAAAGGTTCAATATTCAGTTAGTAGTATCCTCATCTGTAGCAGGCAGCATCAGCAGTCGTTCAGGTAAAACACCACTCTCATTCCCACCCTGCGTGATGGTTGCGCAGCCGTCTCCACACAAAAGGTGGGTGGAGTGGCAGGTGATTGTGCTGGTGCTGAATCCCCTGGAACAAGAAGCATGATAATTTCCTGTTTTTCAGGATGGAGACGCGAAAATGCGAGTTTTATAGATCTATGGAAGTGAACCAGTTGCGCTGGTGAGCACGTGCCAGCGCCGGTCCGACCGTCAATATGTGAGACGGCATTTCCATTCTGGATTTGTTGAACAGTGATAAATGGAGGACAAGTCTCGACCCACTCGTCTTTTTCTGAGCCAGGAAATGAGGAGATTTTCCTCTGTCTGGGGAACCATGGAAAGTTCCTGCAGCGCTGGTTGAAGAGTGAGGGGTCCTGGGTTGACAGGACTGTTTCCAGAATCCTGCTGGACTGTGGGAGTGGGTTGAACTGCATTGTGTAACCTTGATCAGCCTGTCCATACAGCTGTCCATTAACCACACGCACCACCACTCTCAGTAATGCTCTAAGAAGCGGGCCCGCATTTTTCCTGATGCCTGCAGCTGTCATGGACATGAGACAAGCCCCTGCTCGAGCAGCGGGGCGAGATGCAGCTGCGGCGGCTGGCAGGGTGTCTTGCCGGTGATCAGAGGAGCGCTGAGCGCGCACCTAAGGGAGACGCAGCCAGACATTCCTGTAAATCAGCTGCTGCCATGTTGTGGTGCAGGCACACAGGTTGAGGATTCTACTGGTGGTTTTACTGAGCTCATCAACAACAAATCTGTACAACAACGTGGTGACTAACCAGACTTAACAGACCTAACTTATGTATACACAGACCAGCTATTCACTATCTCAACCAATAACAAACAGTCTAGACCATGCGGCCTCCCAATACTAGTACCAATCCAAAAGTTTTCTCAGGATGGGAACACACACAGGAAAACAAAGATGGCCGAGAGCCCCCATTTTGTCACAACCTAGTTCACCAGTGTGTGACAAAGCGGGAGACCACACAAGAGTCTGTGCATTTGGCAAATGATTTAATCAAATAAAGTATAAATATGGATTATGGTTCGTAGTCTGCAGGTCTTGGAAGCTTAACACGTCCAAGGTGCCCCCTCCACCACTGAATATCTCTACTCTTGATGTGGCTGTTCTGTGACCAGGTCACTGAAGAGAAATACGTGGGTATCTGGCAAGACAGCACTCTGTCTTCCTCACATCACATGAGCAGTTTACAGTCTAAGGTCAAATTAAAATGAAGCTTTTTATACAGAATGCGTTCCACTTTCACCGCCCCTGCTAAATGAACTCTTGTCCAGATGACCGTCCTTCCCGTGTTCGATCATGCTGATGTTGTTTACAGATCAGCCTGTGAGGTTTTCTTCAGAAGCTTGATGCTCTTTATCATTCTGTTATCCTGCTTTCTACAAATGCCCCTTTCAAAACACACCGCTGCACTCTCTGTTAACAGGCCGTCCTTACACACCCGTCGTAACGTTCACTGGTTTATGCTCATATGCAAAACCCTCCTGGTCCTATTTGTTTCACTGTAACATTTGCTGCCCATAACACTCGTTCTGCTCACCACATTCTGCTGGAAGTCCCCAAAACAAACACTGTACTTGCTCAGTCATGAACTGGAACCACCTGCAAAAAACTTTAAAATTGGACAATTTTGTTCCCAAGTCAGTTTTGAATGACTTTATTATGGACTCTCTCACTGACACATGCAGCTGTTTCATGACCCAGTGACATATTCAAACATCTATCAGCTGCTTTCTGTCCTCCGATGCATGTATCTTTGTTTTTTTTTGCTTCGTTGTTTCCCTGTTAGTTTATTTTTGTTATTTGCTTTTCCTGTTTGTTTTTGTTGCTGTTGTTTTGCTTGTTTGGTTTTTTGTCTTGCTTGCTTTTTGCAATTTTGTTTTGTTGTTTGTTGCTGTGCTTGATTGTTCAGCCATTACCGCTGTGCCTCTTATCTACTGTTTGTATCTTGCTGCATGTGCATGATACTTTTACCTGATGCCGTCGTCTGTTAGCCACTTACCCATGCTCATGTTTAGACTGTGTGTCTTTTATGTAATGTTTCTTCTGTGTGTTGCTGTCTTTAACTTTATACCCTTTTAGTTCTTACAACCTTTTCCCCAAGCGGCTCTTGCCTTTGCCACTGTAAATAAGAATTTGTTATATAAAGGTAAAATAAAAGGTCAGTATGTTGGCAGTGTCTGTGTGAGCGAGCGGTAAGGAGTGTGTGTATGCCTGAAACACAATATACAGAACCAAAAAGAAAAGGTCAGTCAGCAGGCCAGGGAAGAGACTGAGACAATGACCTCTCAATTACCCGGGAACAGGGAGCGCCAGCCAGAAACAAGGGGACAACACAGAGCTACGCCTGAGTCCGTCACAAAGCTCATAATGTAGCTCGTCTGAAATGCCAGACTCAGACGGTTTCAGGTGAAGCCTCGTCTCACAGTCTGTCAGATTCTGCCTGGAAGCTGCTGAAGACCAGGAGCTGATTGACTGGACTCAGCGAGGGTGAGGACCACGGTGTAGGTGGGTGTGGACTAAAGTGTCATGAGGGATAAGTCCACTAGCTAAAGCCTTAAAGGGTGAAGCCTATTGTGCTGCCACATGTTTATCTGCCAGGCTTGAGCTACTCATCAGATGATAGGGGCTCTGCTAGCAGTCGAAGGAAATGACATCGTTGCATACTCAGGACTGTGGATGGTAGTGGTTATGTTGTTGTGGGTGTTTTCCTGTGTTCTCTGCTAACACTCTTTTAGTGCCGTGATGGATTATGTTCAGCAGATCTCAGGTCTGTGAAAGTTGATTTTCTCAGGA